AGATCGCCGACTATTCAGCAACTTGAGATGGAATTCAATGACCCTTCAAATTCTAACTCAGTCAATTCATGTGCGTTATAGCACTTCCTTAGCCAATACCTTCGATGAGTACCCCCTTCACACACTGACACATGGCAGACCCCACTGGTTTCAACTTTCCACTGCAGTTTCAGGTAATTTTTGAATGTCTGGCGTACGATTCCCTCCTGTCAAATGTAAGATGATGCTGCAGGACTCAACTACACCGACTCTTACCTAACTTAAAGATAAGGAGTGAAGTGGTGGAGCTTGTTGACCACTTCACTTACTTCGGAAGTTGCATCAGCCAGGCCCAGTGGGTTCACCACTGAAGAAATCTCATCACGGATAGAAAAGCCTCATTCAGCATTTCCTGAATTGCGTCATCTCTGGAGTAAAGATATTATCCGGCTGTCGACAACTTCACTCTATCCTATTTTATCACTGTCAGTGAAGCACCGCCATTGAAAGTGGAAGACACAAAAAGCCAGTCTAGCTAGCTATCTTTGATCATAGGTGTCTGCCTTCTGTCTACATCACATCATGTTATGTGGTACGATGGAGTGAGTGATAATGAGATCTTAGTGAGGCATCATCGGTCGAGTGCTAGCTAAGGAGGGAAAATCAATCGATGGCGTTGTGAGGTTATTACATCGATTGAGTGAAGATGGTTAGAACATGTATCGTGCATGCCTTCTAGCCATCGATCGCCTTCCTTGACCGACGGGCAATGTTAGCTGCTGGCATAGGATCGTCGGTGAGGTTGGAAAAGAGCTAGCTAGTTAGTGGTGGTGGTGGTCAAACGAAAATATGGCTTCATCAGTCAGTGGAGTCCATAACAGTTCCTTTAAGCCAGCCCATCAGTCAGCCATCCGCGACGTAGGGACGTATAGTCAGTGTAGCTGGTTGGGATCCTCAGGATGGTAAGAACCAATGAAGGTTGGAGACATGGCTGGCTGGCTGGTGAAGACGCATTCACTCTTTGTGATTTGTCATCATATCCAGTAGAACTCTACTGTTCTTCCACATAACTAGTATTCTTTTTCACTCACTCACACTTGTGTTTATTATCTCTATTTTGTTGAACCTCCCTCTACTCTTTTGTCTTGCGTTAATTGTGGTAGATGGAAGGAGAGTGGGAACTCAAACTGGTGCACATCTATGGAATGTTCTATGTTGTAACTAGTTATTCATTCAGGCAATCAGCCAGTATAAATCTCGAAACAATGCGTAATTCAACATTTTCCATACATTCGAATTTGCTTGATTTAGATAGTTACAAAATCCCTGAAAACGAACTTTAAAAATGGAGTATTTTAATTTTATTTTTCTCAACAAAAACAGAAGTGTTATCTTTTTCAAGTAGTGTTATCCACCTTTATGATCCTTCAAGACGATAGATCATTTTTGTTTATATGCATATTGATAAGCTGATTTCGCAAGAGTTGATTTATAAGGATTAGATTTGTTTTACGAGTTTGACCACGGATTGATATCAGTTAGAGAACCATTGGAAACCACAGCTGAGAGTACTGGACAGCTGTTTCATTTGCCTAGCTTGGGAATCATCAGCGGTACGCACCCCCACTACAAGGCAAGCTCGTATACCATTCGGTCACTGGGACTCGATTAAATGGCCAGTCCATGAATCCTGACTTCTACCAATTGGTGATTTAGCGCCATCAGCAACCGATATCATCGATAGGAAATCCATCCTCACTATTGATTGGATGGAACCTCCATCCTGTAACAATCCGTGGTCATACTCGAAAACAAACCTAGTTCTTAGAAATCAACTCTTGAAAATTAATATGATGTTCGCTACTGATCAGCAACAGGGATCTTTGGGAACGAACCAACCAGGAACCGATTGTGAAACAAATAGGCAGGAGGAAATGGAGATGGATTGGCTGGCCATACTCTGAGGAAACAAGCCATCAAGTGAGTGACATCACTAGACAAGCCATTGCTCGAGTGGAACCCGGCCGAAAGGGAAGCGGCGGCGAGTTGGTCGTCAGTGCAAGGGTGACTTGGAGGAGGTCATGTGAAGAGGAGATGAAAACGTGTGGGCAGACTTGTAGCCAGGTGAAGACTCTAGGAGGTAACTGAACGCAATGGAGACGCACGGCTGAAGCCCTATGTTCCTGTAGGAATTAAAGGATACAATAATAATAATAATCGCTACTGACTTGCTATAAGACGAAGTTTCCTGAAGTTCTAGTGAGAAGTCGTGAACAGTAAGATTCATCCAGTCAAGTGTGAGGAAGGGGATTTCCCACCGATGACACTGGTTTGTGGTCGCGCTAAAAATCACAAATTGGTAGAAGTTAGAATTCATGGGCTGGTCATTGAATTGAGTCCTAGTGACCGAATGATCTACGAGCTTGCCTTGTAGTGGAGGTGCGTACTACCGATGATTCCCAAAGCTAGGCAAATGAAACAGCAGCTGTCCAGTACTCCCTCCCTGGAGAGTTTTTCAATGGTTCTCTAACTTATATGTGATCAAACTTCTTAAATAGTTATTTCTGTCCTTTGCACTACCACACACTCCTCACCTCCTCATGCCTTCTAATGACAAGTATACACACTTTTTTTTGTCATACCACATTCTTTACGCAATCGAATAAATATTCCGGACGTGACTACATATATATATATATAGTGAACATAGAGAAAACGGAGGTGATGAAGATTCCTGGCCAACACCAACAGCCACAGCAACAACAACAGACCACAATCAGCATAAATGGAAGGAACCTGAAAGAAACTACCTCCTTTACCTACTTGGGAAGCATTGTTTCAACTACAGGCCGACGGAACTGACGAGGATATCAAAGCAAGGATCGGGAAAGCAAGGCAAGCTTTCATTACTCTCAAGTCTGTGTGGAGGTCAACAACATTCAGCGTCAAAAATAAGATCGGGATTTTAAACTCCAATGTGAAGTCAGTACTACTATACGGATCAGAGACTTGCACTGTGTGTCACAGAGAGCACCTCAAACAAGCTACAGACATTCATTAACAGATGTCTTCGCTCAATACTCAAGATCAGATGGCCGGAAAGGATCAGCAACAAAGATCTCTGGCAATGAGCGAACCAACCAGGAACCGATTGTGAAACAAATAGGTAGGAAGAAATGGAGATGGATTGGCCATACTCTGAGGAAACCAGCAAGTGACATCACTAGACAAGCCATCGCTCAAGTGGAACCCGACAGAATGGGAAGCGACGAGTCGGTCGTCCAAGGTCATGTGAAGAGGAGATGAAAGCACGTGGGCAGACTTGGAGCCAGGTGGAAACTCTAGCAGAGAACCGAACGCAATGGAGACGCATGGCTGAAGCCCTATGTTCCTCTAGGAATTAAAGGAAACAATAATAATAATTATATATATATATATATATATATATATGCTTTATGTATAGATGGCACTCAATGCATACATCAATACACACACACACACTCACACATACAAACACTGACGTTATACACAAAACACATGGCATGTGATAGAACAATAAAAAATGAAGAAATAAAAAGTTTCCACATAAATAACAACAAGAATAATAATAACAACAGAAAATGAAATACGGGTTAAGGAAATAAATAAAGCAACAGAGAAACGAAAGAAAGAAGAAACGAAAAAAGGCATAAATAATAATAGCAATAATAATAATAATAATAAAGAACCAATGCATTACTGGAAGTCATTCACACACATATATATATGCACACGCACATACACGCACAGAGACAAAAAGTGCGCCAATAACAATACATGAATTAAAACAGACAAATTCAATTCAATATTCAATATTATAACAAACAAGCGAGAAAAGACAAAAATTGCAAGTCAATGAAAAGTAAAAGAAACACTGAAACATCATACATAACACAACATAAACGATCGCGATCAAGTAAGCAAGTAGTATCAGGAAGTCAACTATAAGCTGTATAAAGTAACTATCTTAAATCAAGCAAATTCGAAGGTATGGAAAATATTGAATGAAGCGTTGTTTCGAGATTGATACTAACTGACTGACTGACTGACTAACTAACTAGTTTCAACATAGAACTTTACACAGATGCGTAGCAGTTCCAGTTCCCACTCTTCTTCCATCTATCACATTCAACGCAAGACGAAAGAGTAGAGGGAGGTTCAACAAAAAAGAGATAATAAACACATGTGTGAGTGAGAGAAAGAGAATAGTAGTCATATGGAAGAAGGATAGAGTTCTAGTGGATATTATGACAGATCAGAGTCAATGCATCTTCGCCAGTCAACCAGCCGTATCACCGATTGTATCCAGACTTCATTGGTTCCTACCATCCTGAGGACCCCAACCAGCCACATAGCGTATACCTCCCTACATCGCGGCTGACTGGCTGAAAGTGACTTCCGAAATAAGTGAAGTGGTCAACAAGCTCCATCACTTTACTCCTTATCTTTAAGTTAGGTAAGAGTTGGTGTAGTTCATCCTGTAGCGTCCTCTTACATTTGACAGGATTGAATCGGATACCAAAGATTCGAAGATTTTCGCTCAGGGTATTCTGAAGACTTTGGATTTTATCACCGTCTTCAAACTCTAAGTTGATAAGACACTTGCCTGGTAACAAGTCACTGATGTTAATTAAGGTTAGTTTTATCACTACATCTATGATGAAATTAGACAGAAATAGGAACAGTGGACACCGCTGACGAACACCACTAGTTGTCAACACTTCATATGACAACTCTGCATAAGTTTTTACACGGCTGAGTAAGTTTGGGCATTAGAAGTGCCTTGATAAGTGCTCCCTTCATGGCCCTCGTCGTCCAATGAGCAACACTTTGATGCCAGAAGCTATGGGTAGTTTCAGTGGGTACACCATCAATCTCACCGCGGAATAGACACATGAAAAGTTGACGAGTCCCAAATGGTATGATAAAGAGGAGTCATTCAAAAATGAAAAAGAAATTGGGGGGTGGGAAAAACCAACCAATCAATAAAAACACAAATACTTACTCTGTGAGAAATTAGCTGTAGGATATTTTGATGAATTTTGCTGTGATATTGATGACATCAAATGTTTTTGACGATGATTAATCCATTCACCCCATAGATCTTTCTCTTCACCAAGTTGATGACACCAAGCAGTACGTGAAGGGCTATTCACAGTCACTTCCATATCATTTGCTGGAATAACATCATGATTGCCCAAAACAGGTAGAAGATAGACCTCGTCAACTGGAAAGGCTTGTTTCAATGCCTTAGTAAGCAGTCGAATACCATCTAATAATTGATCAGATGTTAAACTGTCATCATGTGGTCCATTATCGCTGGTGGGTGGGGGGTAACAAGAAATAAAGCAAATAGGGTCAATTACTAATGGTAAATGCAAAATAAAACTGACAAATAGTTAAGAATTAGATGCACCTTCCCGCACGATTATGACTCAATATACCTGAGTTGTGATTTTCCAAACATTTCATCAGTACAGGGTAACAATCAATGGCCGATAGGATGTTCTATATCATTTATAATGTCTTCCTTCATGAATTTCACGTAAATTTCACCCCGGACACCATAGAAGATGAACTGGACAACCTCAAGAGAATCCTCGTCGAGAATTGCTATCCAGAAAGATTTATTGCAAAATCTATGAATCCTAGACCAGAAAAGCCGCCCATACTTAGCGTCAAGAAAAAACTACTCTACATGAACCTTCAATTCGATGGAGATTTATCTGCGGAAACACTGAAAAAAATCGACTGTCGCGCTCACTTAAGAAGACCTTCTTCGCAGCTGAACTACGACTAACCTTCTCCACAAAACCTATGATTCATGTGAACGTGAAGGATAAGCTACCGCTGCTGGCCTCATCAATGTGCATTTATCAATTCACCTGCTCGTGTGGAGCCAGGTATGTCGGCCGTACCCAGCGCTCGCTTTCCAAACGTATCACCGAACACTTACCAACATGGTTTTACAAAGGAGAAAATTGAGGCCCCCGCAGTTCCATCTTAGAACATCTGATAGAATCCGGACACCAAGCTACACCGCAAACAAACTTCAAAGTCGTCTACAGAGTAAGAAGTAGTCTCCCTAAAGGTGTACGAATCAGACTTCTTCAAACTGCAGAAGCAATGGCGATTCACTTGTTAAGTCCTGAACTCTGAATACAGAAGAAGTTCGTTCAATCACTACACTTGCAATGGACGTAATCTATCTTATTAGCCGACATGTAAATTCTACCTAATCTTTTCTTCTGTCTCTTCATTAGTATTATTTTGTCTTCTCAATTGTAACATTTTACATTTTCAACTTTCTTGTTCTCTACCCCCACCCGATTCAATTTCTACACCTCACTACCACTGTTACTGACTTGAACAACGCTCAGTTTCTAGTCATTCATGTTACGTCATCCAACTTATTCACTCAATTTCACTTCTACTTAATCTCTACCTGTAATTACCTCTGTTGCTATCCTGACCTAAGTTGTAACATTTTAGCCAATTATATTACGTCATCTAGCTTTTTAACTCGATTTTACTTTAGTTGCTGTCTGATTAACTTTGTCTCTATACTACATCATTCTTGTATTAACTAATCAATTATCTAAATTTCATCACTTACTGATGAAACGAGAGTCTGAATTCTACCGGTATAAAGGGAGGAGATAAGAGACTTGGTAAGGGACCTTTATTAGTATGTTTATGCATCTTAAGCCACAATAAAGATCGGCTAAATTAGAGGATAACAAATTGTTCCGACTATGATAGACGAATGACCCAAGGCTAAATAAGTTGTCCAATGAGGTTATTTCATGTCCACAACGTAAACTAAATACATATTTGAAGAATAAACCAAACAGCGCACTGGAAAGCTGTCTCGTCCTATTTTAGGACAACATGGATTGAATCCGGAACCTTCAGACAGACAAAGAGTCCAAGTTCGTTGACGATTCATTCAGTCCGAATTCCCAAGAATCTCATAATCTGCACATCAGTCTGTTCAGCTCAGTGATGGCTACTGGATGAATGTTATTAGAGCTGTAGTGAGAAGTCGTTACCGAATGTTGCACTATATAACCGTCAGTTGACGAAATAAGAATTCAGGAGTCATTGAATTCCAGTCCAAGTGACTGAATGGTCGATGAGCTTGGCTTAACAAAACAATGGTCTTGGGTTCCATCCCAGGTGGGATAGTGAATTCGCGCTGATGAACAGTCCTAAAATAGGACGAAACGGCTATTACATAACTCTCCTGATCCCTCTGAATGATGTTGGTTCTAGTAATTGAAATTCCAGTTACATTTCACTAGGTGACGACATTGGTTAGAAAACTACTGAGAACCACAGAGCACTGGATACAGCCGTCTCATCCTGGTATGCACTCATGATCTCACCAAGAAAAGAACTGAGGACCTTGATGTCATCAGGACAGATCACTGACCATTCAGATACTGAGTTGGAATTCAATAATAATAATTACAATAATAATAATAATGATAGCTTTATTCTGGACAGTGGCTATATAATGCACAGAATATTCAGCGAAATTTATTGCAGTTTTATCTTCGTTCAGGATCTTCAAGGAAAACATTAATTGACAGTAGGTCGCTTGACACAATGCCGTCTAGTCTGAAGCACCAAATCACCAATCCCTAATGATATTTCTTCTTCGTCTCCTTCAGAGAAATATCGTAAGACCCGAGGACATAACTCAGGAACAGAATTATCTCATGCATTGGGATACGTGGCTGTCCACGATTATGCTTTTACCCAAGTCTAGTAGAAACTAACAAAACCATCAGGTTGTAAACATTTTAAATACCCGCGAGATTAAATAACACCACTAGAAATGATATTTTAGTAGATTAAAACAATATGAAAATGATAAATAAGATACAATATAATCGTTAAAGTATCTGGTAACCTAAGTAACCTAAGATAACCGTCAAAATGACTTATAAATTCTAACTTCTGCTAATTCGTGAAATATATTGTACCCCTACTAGTTAATTTAATCATCTTCGAGTATTTGTTCATCCCATTCCTCAACGAGTGCATCGGTGACTCAACGGTAGGATGCTGGCCGACCATGTACGTGGTCCGGGATTCGATCTCCAGCCAGCGCACACCTTTACCTCCCCTAACCGGTTGTAAAGCGGACAAAGAGGGGAGGTTGGGCGTAAGACTAGCAACCTCACCCCGTAAAAAGAAAAAAACACTACTGCTACGGAAACTTCAAAGCTCCTGCTTGAAGCCCTATGTTCCTCTCGGAACGCGAAGGAATAAAAATATTTTTCAGAAATCCCTCAAAGAGTTCATATTACAACTCTCCAAGAAGTTCATCCTGTAGTCGTTACAGGCCCTAATGGTACTCCAACATCAAATCTATCAAATCCCAATAAATTATCACTAGTATTATTCCTTTGGGTTCTTAGTGGAACATAGGGCTTCGTTAACACATCACCATTTTGGCTTGCTCTATGTAGTGCTCACTTTAGCTGGTCGCACAATTTCCCATAGTCTCTCATCTCCTCTTTATATGATCTCATCCATATCACCATTGGAGCTGCACCCAACTTGCCGTTTCCCTATTCATGTTCAAATAGAGCATGTGTCTGGAACGTGATGTCATCTGACGACCTCAGTATGTGTCCACCCCATCCGCATTTTCTTAGAAACAATTGTTGAACGACAGGTTCTTCGTTGGTCCTCTTCCAGAATTCCCCCTGTTAATAATCTTTTCTGATTGGTCGTCTGACCTTCAATATGGAGCCATCTATGGCAGCTGTTGATAAAAGTTTGTGGTAACCTGTTGGAAATACTTTTGATAATACGCCAAGTTTCTCACCCATATAGAAGAACTGACTTAGCATTGGTGTGTTGAAAATCTGAATCTTGTTCTTTAGGCTACGGAGTGAAGCAGATTTCCAAACTGATTTCAGAGTGATGAAGACTCGCCTTGCCGATTCTGATCTTGGCATTCTCAACCCCACCGCCTGTAGTTAAAAAGATGCTGCCCACCAGATAAACACAGGAAGTAAACTTTTTCAAATTTGGTTGGAGGATTTCATCATGAGCTGACATCGGTTAGAGAACCACTGAAAACCCAGCAGGGAGTATTGGACAGCTGTTCCATCTACCCAGTTTGGGAATCATCGGCAGTAAACACCCACTGGGGTTCGAACCCAGGACCTTCTGGTTACAAAGTGAGCTCGTAGACTGTTAAGCCAGTGGACCCCATCCAATGACCCATAAATTCCAACATCTATCAGTTCATGACATAACGCAACCACTTCGCAATGTCTTCTTTGATGAGTAACTGTCCTCACCTTCAACCTGCTGTAACCTACTGGTCACGGCTTCCCACTAGAACCCCACCTGAATAGGGCAATTTTCAAGTATTGGTTTTATAGAGATTTTGTTTGACTAATTGAAGGATTTCATCATGAGCTGACATCAATGGTTCTCTAACTGATGTCAGCTCATGATGAAATCCTCCAACCAATCAAACAATATCCCTACAAAACCAATACTTGAAAATTTTTCAGATTTGTTCCATTGATAATGATTGTTGCTAGTTGTTGATTGGTTGGTTGGCTATCTTCATCACTTCCTCTCTCTTCTCTACATTCAAACTTGAAGTTCCATCTTCGCTGTCTGCTTCTTTGGGTGGTTTACCCTGTAATTCTTCGAGTGTGCACGATACTAGACGTAAACCGCTCACGAAATCCAGATCTTCTAGAGTCCATAAATAAACAATTGAAAAAGCGGATTTACGCCATAGAATATCCATCTCACTAGCGTGACAATATTACTCAACAAATAGTTATGAATTGGACACGCACTGAGGCAGCTGGCGAATGACATCGCACATCAGGTTGTAACTCGAGTTGAATCCAAATGGGAAACGACGAGTGAGTTGTTACATCGAAGGTGACATGGAGGAGATCGTGTGAGCCGAAGGACATGAGAGACTATAGACAATCGTGAGGCCTGTCAAAGTGAACAGCAGAGAATAGAACAAAGTGGAGATGTGTTTTTGAAGCCCTGTATGTTCCACTCAGAACCCAAAGGGGACAACAGTCATAACAATATCATCCGTATGCTTAGTTTCATTAGGACTTTCTGACAACAACCATCCTAACTAACTGGAAGACTGACTTGTGATGATAAAATCTATGTTAAAGTTGTAATATAACTGTTTCTATTTAAAACAGTTAGTCCCTTTTATAAATTTTGATAGCATTATTAGAAGACGGAGATTATCTGAAAAATGTGATGATACGCGACGATCATGAAGATGCGAGTCGTCTATTGGACAGACTAAACCCTGTACAGAATCATATTAGTCTTACATGCGAGGAAGAAAGTCGCAACCAGCTCGCATTTTTAAACATACTTCTGAGTCGAAGTGACGACGGCTCAATAAGACGGTCTATCTACAGAAAGCCCACTTGGACAGGGCAATACCTT